AAAGCAACCCTACTATTGCGCCTAGTTTTGTAGTTAGCACCTAAAGTCCTACTATTAAAGTTTTAGTAGTAGGCAAAATTTAGGGTCTATAGATAGCTAGCACTGCTAAACTATTTAATAGATCTTAGGGGACAGCCCTACCTAGCATCCGCTCCTAGTAAGCGTAGCAAAGCGTAGGTTTTCTCTACTTAAGGTATGTATATGGCGAGTTTAAACATATAGAAACGCCTATTAGGCTTTGTTGTAGACTATTCCTTAAGAAACTTAGTAGGGGTAATTAAATTAGTTGCTAGTTGTAACTAGTGCCTTGTGTGCTATTATGCTAGTAGCTAGAATCGCTTCTGCGATTTCTTATTACGTACTTTCTACCTCCTTTTAGGGGTAGTGCTTGTGCGCTTTAGCGTATTAGGTATTAGGATTGTTACCTAGTTAATTCTGCTAGTAGTTATATGCTTGTCTTAAAGATTAAGCTATATATGTCTAAGTATAAGTAATTATACTATAAAACTGCAAATAGCTTATTAAATTAGTTATTATTTATTTAATAGTACCTTACTACTTAAATAACTATAGTAATTCTAGAGCTAATATATGCTAAAAACCCTAACTTTAGAAGGGGTGTATTTATTAGATAAAAAACTAACGCCCTTTAGGGCTTCTTAGTAATTTATAATAACTTTACAGATTGTATAGCCTTGCGCTAGCAACAGTTTATTTAAATTTCTGCCCTATTAACTTTTAATAGTAAGGTATTAGCTTACTATAGTTTTAACAGGTAACGGGGAATTAGGGTTTAATTCTAGAGAGGGAGCCTAAGAAACAGCTACCATATCTAAGGAAGGCAGTAGGCGCGCAAATTACCCAATCCTAACACGGGGAGGTAGTAATAATAAATACTAATATAGGGCTCTTTTAGGTCTTATAATTAGAATAAGTATAATTTAAACCTCTTAACAAGGAATAATTAGAGGGCAAGTCTAGTGCTAGTAGCTGCAGTAATTCTAGCTCTAATAGCGTATATTAAAGTTGTTGCAGTTAAAAAGCTTATAGTTAAAACTTAGGTCTAGCTAGCAGGTCTGCCTTACCGCGTGTACTTGTCTAGCTAGGCCTTCCTTCTAGAGAACCTTATGCCCTTTACTAGGCGTGTTAGGGACTAGGACTTTTACTTTAAAAAAATTAGAGTGTTTAAAGCAGGCCTTTGCTTAAATACGTTAGTATAGAATAATAGAATAGGACGTGCGGTCCTATTTTATTAGTTTCTAGGACCGCTGTAATAATTAATAGGGATAGTTAGGGGCATTAGTATTTAATTATTAGAGGTAAAATTCTTAGATTTATTAAAGACTAACTACTGCGAAAGCATTTGCTAAGGATGTTTTTATTAATTAGTAAACAAAAGTTAGGGGATTAAAGATAATTAGATACTGTCGTAGTCTTAACTGTAAACTATACTAACTAGGGATTAGGCGATGTTCTTTTTCTAACTCGCTTGGCACCTTATAAGAAATTAAAGTTTTTAGGTTCTAGGGGGAGTATAGTCGCAAGGCTAAAACTTAAAGAAATTGATAGAAGGGCACCACTAGGCGTGGAGCCTGCGGCTTAATTTAACTTAACACAGGGAAACTTACTAGGTCTAGATAAAATAAGGATTAATAGATTAAGAGCTCTTTCTTAATTTTTTAGGTGGTGGTGCATAGCTGTTCTTAGTTAGTGGAGTGATTTGTCTGCTTAATTGCGATAACGAATGAGACCTTAACCTGCTAAATAGCTAGGCTAGCTTTAGCTAGTTGCTAGCTTCTTAGAGGGACTATTAGCTTAAGCTAATAGAAGTTTAAGGCAATAACAGGTCTGTAATGCCCTTAGATGTTCTAGGCTGCACGCGCGCTACACTAACAGAGCTAACAAGTTCTTTACCTTAACTAAAAGGTCTAGGTAATCTTGTTAAACTCTATTGTGCTAGGGATAGAGCATTGCAATTATTACTCTTTAATAAGGAATGCCTAGTAAGCGCGTGTTATTAGCATGCGTTGATTACGTCCCTGCCCTTTGTATATACTGCCTGTTGCTACTACTAATTAAATGGCTTAGTAAGGCCTTTAGACTAGCTTAGGGAGGTTAGTAATAACTACCCTAAGCTAGAAAGTTTGTTAAACTTGGTTATTTAGAGGAAGTAAAAGTTGTAACAAGGTTTCTGTAGGTGAACCTGTAGAAGGATTATTACCTATTTTTAAAGCACTGCTGCCTTAATTAGTAGTAGCAGTCTACTTTAATTCTGCCTATGTTTTTTGCGTACTATTTATTTCCTTAGTAGGCTTGCCCACTAATTAGATCCCCTAAAACTACTTGCAATTGTAGTTAGCGTTAGTAACAATATAATAAATTATAACTTTTAACAATAGATCTCTTAGTTCTAGCATTAATAAAGAACGCAGCGAAATGTGATAAGTAGTGTGAATTGCAGAATTTAGTAAATTATTGAATCTTTAAACGCATATTGCGCCCCTTAGTATTCTATAGGGCATGCCTATTTAAGCGTTATTTGTACCCTTAAGCTCTGCTTAGTATTAGGTGTTTATTCTACTTAGGACTCGCCTTAAAACAATTGGCAGCTAGCACATTAGCCTAGAGCGCAGCACATTTTGCGCCTCTTGTTATGGTTGTTAGCATCTATTAAGACACTTTTTAAGCTCTTAACCTTAGATTAGGTAGGGATACCCGCTAAACTTAAGTATATTAATAAGCGGAGGAAAAGAAACTAACAGGGATTGCCCTAGTAATAGTAAGTAAAGCGGCAACAGCTTAAATTTAAAATCTAGCTCTTTTAGGGTCTAAGTTATAATTTGCAGAGGGCGCTTTAGCGTTAGCAGTAGTCCAAGTTCCTTAGAATAGGACGTTATAGAGGGTAAGAATCCTATATATAGTTACTAGCCTTCGCCGTGTAAAGCCCCTTTAATAAGTTAAGTTATTTAGGAATATAGCTCTAAATAGGAGGTAAATTTCTTCTAAAGCTAAATACTAGCTAGAGACCAATAGCGTATAAGTAGAGTAATTAAAAGATAAAAAGTACTTTAGAAAGAGAGTTAAATAGCACGTGAAATTGTTAAAAGGGAAGCGCTTGCAGCTAGACTTGCCTGTAGTTGCTTATCTAGGCTTTTGTCTAGTGCACTCTTCTACAGGCAGGCTAGCATTAGTTTAGGTGGTTAGATAAAGGTCTCTGTTACGTACCTCCCTTTAGGGAGGCCTTATAGGGGAGATAACATGCAACTAGCCTAGACTAAGGTCCGCGCATCTGCTAGGATACTAGCGTAATGGCTATAAGTGGCCTATCTTAAAATATAGACTAAGGAGTCTAACATCTATGCGAGTGTTTAGGTGTTAAGCCTAGACGCGTAATAAAAGTGAATAGAGGTAGGACCCCTTTTAGGGTGCACTATTAACTAATCCTAATATCTTTAGAAGGATTTAAGTAAGAGCATAGCTATTAGGACCTAAAAGATAGTAAACTATACTTAAATAGGGTAAAGCTAGAGGAAACTCTAGTAGAGGCTCGCAGCAGTTCTAACGTGCAAATTAATTGTTAAATTTAGGCATAGGGGCAAAAGACTAATTAAACTATCTAGTAGCTAGTTCCTGCTAAAGTTTCCCTTAGGATAGCAGTAACGTATTTAGTTTTATAAGGTAAAGCAAATAATTAGAGGCCTAGGGGTTAAAACAACCTTTACCTATTCTTAAACTTTAAATATGTAAGAAGTCCTTATTACTTAATTAAACGTAGACACTTAAATATACTATTACTAGTAGGCTATTTTTAGTAAGCAGAACTAGCAATGTAGGATGAACTAAACGTGGGGTTAAGGTGCTAGAATGCACGCTTATTAGACACTACAAAAGGTGTTAGTTTATCTAGACAGCAGGATGGTAGCTATAGAAGTTAGAATCCGCTAAGGAGTGTGTAATAACTTACCTACTAAATAAACTAGCCCTAAAAATAGATAGCGCTTAAGCGTGTTACCTATACCCTGCTGCTAGGGCAAGATTTAAGCCCCAGCAAGTAGGCAGGCGTGGAGGCTCGTAATAAAGCCTTAGGGGTAACCCTAGGTAGAACGGCCTCTAGTGCAGATCTTAGTAGTAGTAGCAAATACTTAAATAAGAACTTTAAGGACTAAAGTAGGGAAAGGTTCTATATAAATAGTAGTTAGATACAGGTTAGTTAATCCTAAGAGATAGGGTAATTCTATTTTAATATTAGTGCTTGCGCCGCGCCCTTAAAAGGGAAGCTAGTTAATATTCTAGCACCTAGATATAGATTCTCCGCGGCAACGTAACTAAGAGCGGAGACCTTAGCAGGAGCCCTAAGAAGAGTTCTCTTTTCTTCTTAACGGTCTATTACCCTAAAATTAGTTTATCTAGAGCTAGGGTTTAATAGCTAGAAGAGCGCTGCACTTTTGCAGCATTTAGTGCGCTCCTAATAAGCCTTAAAAATCTGCTTAAAGAAATAGTTTTTATGCTAGGTCGTACTTATAACTATAGTAGGTCTCTAAGGTAAAAAGCCTCTAGTTAATAGAATAATGTAGATAAGGGAAGTTAGCAAAATAGATCTATAACTTTAGGAAAAGGATTAGCTCTAAGGGTTAGGTACGTTAGGCCTTAGGGAGAAGCCTCTAGCGCAGAAGGGCACTAACCGCAAGGTAGGCGCCTCTTAGCGCTAGGGTGCAGACACCCTTAGCAGGTTTCAGCTGTCTAGCGTACGTTTAATAACTAACTTAGAACTAGTATAGATAAGAGGAATCTAACTATCTAATTAAAATATAGCATTATAATAGCTAGAAAGTAGTGTTAACGTAATGTGATTTCTGCCTAGTGCTCTAAATATTAAAGCAAAGAGATTTAACCAAGCGTGGGTAAACAGCAGGAGTAACTATAACTCTCTTAAGGTAGCTAAATGCCTTATTATCTAATTAGTAACGCGCATAAATAGATTAATAAGATTCCTACTATCCCTATCTACTATCTAGCGAAACTATAGCTAAGGGAACAGGCTTAGCTAAATTAGCGGGGAAAGAAGACCCTGTTAAGCTTAACTCTAGTTTAACATTGTAAAAAGATATAGGGGGTGTAGAATAGGTAGGAGCTTTAGCGCTAGTAAAATACTACTACCCTTATTGTTTTTTTACTTATTTAATAAAGCAGAGCTAGGCCTTACTGCCTAACTTCTAGCGTTTAAGGTCCTTTATAGGCTAATCTAGGTTAAAGATATTGTTAGGTAGGGAGTTTAGCTAGGGCGGCACATCTATTAAACTATAACGCAGGTGTCCTAAGGGGGACTTATAGAGAACAGAAATCTCTAGTAGAGCAAAAGGGCAAAAGTCCCCTTGATTTTGATTTTTAGTGTGAATACAAACCATAAAAGTGTAGCCTATTAATCCTTTAGTCCCTTAAAATTTAAGGCTAGAGGTGCTAGAAAAGTTACTATAGGGATAACTAGCTTGTAGCAGCCAAGCGTTTATAGCGACGTTGCTTTTTAATCCTTTAATATTAGCTCTTCCTATTATACTAAAGCAGAATTTAGTAAGCGTTAGATTATTCACCTACTAATAGGGAACGTAAGCTAGGTTTAGACCGTCGTAAGACAGGTTAGTTTTACCCTACTAATAACCTTGCCCTAATAGTAATACCGCTTAGTACGAGAGGAACCGCGGTTTTAGATAATTAGTTTTTGCGGCTGTCTAACTAGGCATTGCCGCGAAGCTACTATCTACTAGATTATAGCTAAACGCCTCTAAGTTAGAATCTATGCTAGAATAGGGTGATTTCTGCCTGCACTAGTTAGATACAAATAGGCCTTTAGCCTAGAACCTTACTAGATCGGCGTTAGCAGCCCTATTAAAGTTAGGGTTGTTAGCTAGTATATTGCAATTATACAGTGCGCAGGATTAAATCCTTTACAGACAACTTAGTTATCTAGCTAGGTCGTGTAAGTAGTTAAGTAGCCTTGTTATTACGAGCTACTAAGCGTAAGCCCGTTGCTAGCTTAGTTAAAATTAGGATATTATGCCCTTGGACAAGAGGTGGTTATAAGTAAAATTTTCGCCTGTCTCT